AATTAATTTTTTTTTTTTCATTAAATTGTTCGTCTACATTTCTTTAGTCTTTTCTATGAGTTAATAACACGATAGACTACCGTAGCCACTTTTAGAGATGACAATCTAAAAAGTATAGGAAACAACTTCAGACTTAACGTTAACAACACTAAATTAAAAATCGAAAAAAAAGAAAAAGTAATAAATGAGTTATACCTCAAAATAGTACTTAAATAATGTTCCATGCTATTAAATGTATAGCTTAACTGTAGGTACAAGTGTTTGGTTCAGAAATGCAACGTCATCCGAAAGGTTTCAAAAGGGAACGTTGAGTTTGTACGCATTTTTAGTTGCGGAGGTAGTTAATTACTACAGATACAGTAAAGGCATACGGAATGGTTTTATCAAATTTTAATCCTATTAATTAGTCTTTCATCATGAGTACTGATAACAATCTATCAAAGGTAATTTAAAAAAATACCAGAAGCTTATGAGACTTTAATGTTTTTGTATTTAAAGTATTGTGATTAATACAAAACCCAGCGAAGTGTATTTAGAAATATTTGTAGTTGGTTTGGTATAATAACTAATTGGATCCGGATTTAATGTTTTTAATTTAGAAGCTCTAAAAATAAACAATTTCTGAATTTGTAAATTCCTTGTTAACCAAGGAAATGTTTATGCAAATTTTTTACAGTTTTTAGGCTCCTACCTGAATATTAGGACCCAATATATCTTTATAAGAAGATAACAATAATTTGTTAAATTTCTATGAAACTATTAACTGTCTACTTTCACATTTGAAATGATTTTTAAGAAATGTTTAAATAATTTCTTGATCGTCATCATTTATGAATAACTTTTAATTAGTAGATCTCGTGAATCTTAGAAATTTATAAGTAACGAAAAAATATTGAAAAAAATACATGTTGTGCTCACCCTGACAACAGAGACTCGTCAGATGCTAAACAGTTCAGATGACTCAAATCAATAAAAAATTAATTACATGTGTTAAGCGCTTGTCGGACTTGTCATAATAATAAAGTTCTAAGATTAAATTTAGTAGCAAAAGGCAGTACAATTAATTATATATGTATATAATTTTTAATATTCTTAATATAAAATAAAATAGCCTTTGTAATGTTTTAATTCTGCTTTATGGTATATATATACTAATTATTTATTCTATAACTTTAGAAAATCAGAATATAATTAAGTCTACAGTCATTAATAAGATTGTCTGTAAAAGCTAGGTGTAGGATATTAATAAGTATATCAACAACAAAATGTAAGTTTGAAGTAAATGTAGAAGAAGACACTCGTCAATTAATTGTCATTAGCGATTTGCAATTTAAATATATATATACATATCATATATATTTCCTTTCAACAATTTTTGAATCAATCTTTAAACATGCACCTCGGGCTAGTCATTATGCTTATATGCTTAATCGTATAATAAGTACAAGTAGTTGATATATTTCGTATAATTAATAAATAAACTCTAGAAGAAAATAAATAAAATGCTAAATAAATACAAATTTTTATAAATATACGATTTTTGTTCACCTACTAATATGTATGGATTCTCATAGAGCAGGTTTTTCATTTTCAATTTAGACATTTAGACGAAGAGATGAGGTGTTATTTTACTTAATGTGATACACATTGCTTTAACAAAACCGAAACAATTAAAATTAAAGTACATTCTTTTTTTTTGTGGAGAGAAGGTGGAATACTTTATGTACCGTTAGACCCTCCATCAGAATGGTGTGCCTGACTCCCCTCTTTGGACAGACTTGTTCCACCTCGGAACCCATTTCGTATAACTTTGAGGAGGGTTTGTTTTATGTTGGCACTTCAAGCCATGCTCTTGTGATTTTCGATCAGCGTTCAGACCTCCACTTTTTAACCGCATTTTCTTAGTGTCTGCATTATTTACAGGCCTAGTTTCTGATTCTCTTTTCTAGGTCTAATTTCTATGCTTTGAAGATTGAATCACATATGACTCTATCGTTCGTCGGTTTGTTGGGTTCGCTCTGATCTTTTCTACTATATTTTTGGGATTTATTGGTCCAATCTCTTCTCTAAATGCGAGTTTCTAGTCTCTTCGCAAAGTGAAGTAAAAAATTTTAATAAGTAATTTGTAAAGTATGGTATATGTTTTATGTCATTTTAAATAATTTTTGTGTAAAACTGTTACAAATATACCAGTTTGTTTTGTTAATTATGTGTTTACATATGCTACATATAAGCAATTCGTAAACAAATAGATTGTAGGAATGCTATGACATATATTCTATATTAACATAACAGCTTTATTCATTTCTTCTTATTAAAATTTGTTATCATTAGTTACGCTAATTAACAAATAAATGATCTAATCAAATTTCAAAGTAATCCCGCCATTTAGTACAAATTACATAAGTTCGAAATTTTCCACTTTGTAGAATTTCATTGCTCCATTTGTTTAAACAATAAAATGTTAATGACAATATTAATTATATGTAAAATGAAAAATGCTAAGGCATTATTTCAATATTTTTCACCCTAACCTATGCTAACTCATGATAAATTGCGCTAATTGATAATTGCTACTGTTACAGTTTTTTATTTCAGTTTATTTAATTTTGCAAAACCCAATTGAGCAAAAGTGTTAATTGGAAAACCCAATAATTTCCTCAATTGCCGTACTACCCAGGGCTTAAAAACAACAGTTACGGCAACAGAGTACAACAACGGGAATTGTAGCAACATTAGAAATGACAACTGCAGTGGCTGATGTATATTAACAATTTCTACACTCGTAAATATGAACAACAGCTGCAGGCAGTACAACAGTTGCATTTTATATTGTCAATGCAAAAACATGAAAGCACAGAGAAATTAAATGAAACAAAAAAGAAAGAAGAAAAATCCAGAAACTATCTACAGGGGCAACACTTTGCTGACAATGTACAAACCACATCAGATACGGATAACAGAATGAAGTAGACGATGGTGTGGTAGAAATGGTATTGGTCAGAATGGTGCGGAAAAAGCCAATATGCTGCAATGGACAGACAGTGCA